TTCTTCAGAAGCAGGTGGATATCCTAATATTGCTTCTGCTTAAAAGAGCCTCTCAGAGCACGTGCCATCTGAGAGCAGAAGAGGGGAGCCATCATTCCTCCTTGCCCTTACATCTCCCAAGACTGTGAGCAACACTGCACCAAGAGCTAAAGTTAATGTTTGAGTGTTCACATTCCAGACCAGAAATAAGTGCCCTCAAATTCGACTCACCTCAGTGTAGAGGAGAAGGCAGAAAGGTCACACCTGGTGTGCCTCTTAGACATGCCTGCCTCTCTGCTCCTGATCACCCCAGAGCAGTGTCAAGGTGGGCCCTTCTCTGCAGCATTCAGACAATCAAATTTCTTTTGGGAGGTGTTTACTCTGAGATGATCAGCAAGCAGATTGCCAATATTCATTTTCAGCTAGACTGAAAGCTGTGGCTTGCTCATCAGATAGCGTGTTTTCTGCAGTGCCCATATCTTGTAGCAGTAGAGCTGAGCCCTACATGAAACCAAGGTCTGTAATTATGAAACTGAAAAGAAAACAGTCACATTCTCTTTTTACATCTAATTTTTTTCCCTTAAGGGAATCTTATTTTCTTTCAAGGGTTAGAGCCCAAATTGTCTTGTAAGATGATGGTGTGTGTGTGTTTGGGGAGATAATTTGGTTTTCCTCTACAGGCAGCACCATCATGGGAACAGCATTGCTGGAGGACTGGTGAAGGGGGCTTTGTCTGTCGCCACCTCTGCATACAAGGCCCTGTTTGCTGGGCCACCAATCACTGCACAGGTCAGTGTGTACTTTATTTTTCTGAACCAAAACTAAGCCACCAATGAAAATGATGGTTTCTGTCCACATTAGAGAGTAGTGTAACATTGTAGAAAGAGCATAGACTTTGGATGTAGTCTTTGGGTATACACAACTCTGCCACCTTCTGGCTGTATGACTTCGGCCACATTACATAGGGGAGAAAAGGAAAGGGACCTGAAGTTTTTAGAGGATCTACTATGTATAAGATAAATAAGACACTGGTTCCTATCCAAAGATTCTGGGAACAAGTGAGTTAGAAAGAAATTTACAGCAGAGGGACAGATACTGCTCTGATATTCTCAGGTTATTTTGTTCCCCACTCTGTCTCTGGTGAATCCTCTCACCCCCCGCACCTTTGGCTTACACCCCAGTTCTTCTGTGCAAAAATAGAAAAAAAGGTTTGAGGTAAATAATATGATCAGGCTTGTGCTTTATGAGATCATTCTGTTACTGGATAGAAGCTCGTAGAGGCAGTAAAGGAATCCATTGTAGAATCCATGTGTAAGTGGGAAAGAAAGGAGAGATAATAAAGAGATAGAAGTGGCAGAACTTGGAAACCATAATAAAATAGCTAGAACGAAGTCAAGGATAAACCTCAAGTTTCTGGCTTACACAGTTAATAATACCACTCTTTACGAGATGATATGCAGGAAGAAGGGTAACTTGGGTTAAGAGGAGAAAATGCGGTCCATTTGAGGGAGTGTGGAGTTTGAGCTACATCCAGGTAGTTATCCAGAGTGTAGCTGTGTATGTACATCTGGAACATAGGGGTGATTTGAGCTGGAGATAAAATATGACAGTGAGTGAACAGGTTAGAGCAAGAGCCTAACCCGATAATTCTAGAAGATGAATAAGGAAAGAAGCGGCCTTTAAGGGTCACAGAAAGGAGGGGCCCACCTAGCAACTAGGAAACTAGGAATAAAACTAGGAGAATTCTGTGCTGGAGTTCGGGGAAGGGAGTTTTCATGAGGGGGTTGCCTATGATGACAGTGTCAGATGCTACAGAGAAGTGTGTGTGAATGGTGAGGAATTTAAGAGCGTGTATGCCCTACTTCAGTAGCTGGTGAAAAAAGTGCAAACTCGGATACGTAAGACAATGGTAGACTTTATAGATGGGCGAGACAAGGTGGGCAAGCCAGTACAGGTTAGTGATCTAGATGGCGGGATAATCAAGAGGACGATTTCTAGGATGGTGAGAGGTGGCAAGATACAAAGGAAAGTACATTTGGAAGGATTAGCCCGGAAAGGAGGATAATTTATATGAAAAAGAAAGAAAAGAACAATAGAGTTGAGCATGGAGGGAAGTGCCAGAGACTGCTCAGTACATTTATGTACTTTCTCATCATAATCAACCACTCTGCCAAATTGGCATTCTGTATCTCTGTTTTCATAAATAAGGGTATTGACGTCAACACAGTTGGTAAGTATATTGTAAGAGTTGGGGTATTCTAAGTGTGAGGAGGATTTAAGAAGGTAGGCATCCACCACAGGACTTGGCCCTAAAGGGGAAGTAAATGAATTTAGCTCTTACCTGGATCGTATCTTAAAAAAAAAAAAAAAGCCCAGAAGACTGCTCAGAATTTAATTTCTCTTCTCTTTCTGGTACAAACAGCCTAATTCAAAGCAGGGCTTTACAGGCCTCCCCGGTGGTGCAGCGGGTTGAGCACAGCGCTGTGAAGCTGTCTGCAGCCTGTGCAGCATGGATTTGATTCTCGGCCAGCCAGGGAGATACCCACATGGTGCGGCAGACCTCTCCTGTCTTGCCTGCAGTTCCCCTCAGCAGTGTTTTCGGTCCGTCTGCCTGTTCTGCTCCCCACTCTGTCTCTGGTGAATTCTCTCACCCTCCCATGCCTCTGGCCTGTACCCCAATTCTTGTATAACTAAATCTTTTTTTTTTTTTTTTTAAAAAAGGCAGTCTTTCTTACCCCCTCAGAAGAAACCTCAGAACCAGGGGGCAGGGGTGCCACACCCATGCATCTAATTGTCTAGTGTTGTGAGTATAGTTTAACTATAATTAAAAATTATACAGAGCCTCCCTGGTGGCCTAGGGGTTATGTCTCAGCATTATCACCTCTATGGCTTGAGTGGATCCCCAGCCAGGGAGCTAACCCACATATGGGGCAGCAGACCTGTCTCGCCCGCTGCTCCCCTCACCAGAGTATTTCAGTAGATCTGCCTGTTTGGCTCCCCACTCTGTCTCTGGTGAATCCTCTCACCCCCTGCAGGTACCTGTGGCCTACACCCCAGTTCTACTCATAAATAAATGTTAAAAAATATATATATATATGTGTGTGTGTGTATTTATATATGTACAGAAAATGTTCTGTGCTTCTTGACTCTCAACAGCCAATAGTTTCTGAAGAAAAGACAGCAGCCTTGATGGCCCATCTCTTTGAAATGGGGTTTTGTGATAGGCAGCTGAACCTGAGACTGCTGAAGAAGCACAATTACAACATCATTCACGTGGTGACAGAGCTCCTCCACATCAGCAACAACGACTGGTACAGCCACCGCTACTGAGGAGTGACCTTGTATTAAATAACTTTGCCTGCTGCTCACAGATGATCTTTATTCTGTCGGTGGGGTGTGGGGTAGAAGCCCTTGATTATTTTTTAACCTGATGAATCTATATAGAGCCCATCATTGAATTATCAAGACAATGCCTGCATCAGTGTTTTTGGAGCAAATCAAAGACCAGAACTTAAATTTTCACTTTAGACATTGGATGAATAGTAGGAAGTTTTTCCATTGATTTGGATAAAATTTTTCTCCGTTTTAGTGCATTGAAGAGTATAACTTGAACTGTAGAACCGTTTTTCTTTCTGCTTGTATTGAAATTGAGTATTTTTCTTTGATTAATGTGGATGTTTTTATGGGGATATCTGTTAATTGTCAGTTTTTAAAAGAAATTAACCTTAGGTGTCATTTTTAAAAGTAATTCTCATTTCTGTAACCTATCCACTAAGCCTCATACTGGCTGGTATTGAAGTGACACCCAGAGCGTGAGAGGATTGAGCTACTCTTCCTTTCCAAGGAGAAAGTCCTGCAAGACTTAGTAATCCCCACCATAGTTTTCTGAGAATCCCACTGATGTATTTAAGAACATCCACTTTCTGGGTCTCTGCACTTCAATGAAGGGAGGCTGGGAAATGTGCCCACCGGCACTTACTGAGCAGTGTCCAGTGTCATTTTGCATATTTTTCTTTTATTTAAGGGGGAGAAATCTAAGTAGGTAGTATGAAATATTTTGTTAATCCTATAGAAAAGGAAAGAAAATCCTTTATTTAAGAGAAAAGGATATTTAACAGTTACTTTTTTTTTGTTAATGTTAAGGGCAGGTCTTATTTACAGTAGAGTGGGAGGAACAGAAACAAGTGAAAGTGAAAGGCAGGCTCTTACCTTAATCTCAGTAGTTTGAGGGTGGGCAAATGAGTGTGTGTCAGGCATAAGAAATTCTGATGACTTCTTGAATGTTTGAAATTTGTTCAGAGGTCTGGAGCACCACAGAGCTCAGAACAGGGAGAAGAGGCTAGTGTTTAGCCAAACCTGAATAGGTTACAAGAAGTGAATGAGTGGGAAAAAGCTTGCTTCCAGAGGGTCAGGGCTGCATTGGGTTTCTTGAAGGGAGTCTTGGGTACAACTGATAAGGAAGAGGTAATAAAATACGCTCAAGATTGTATTCATGAAAATGACTTCCAGAAAAACAAGAATTTGACCCCCAGCCCAAAGGGGAAAGAATAGTAAATTAGTACTATTTAACCTGGTTGGTATTTATAATAAATGGTGATTTTAATTAATCATTAGCCATAATGATGTTTATTTACAGTATAACGCTTGAATACTATTAAGTAAGCCAGGATTCAGACAGCAAGCCAACCAGGCTGTTCATTATTTAAAAGGTTTTTGTCTGGGCTTCTGGGTAGAGGCTGAGCAGCAGGGTGTGTGTAATTAATTGGGTTGATTTCCAGTGGGACCTGTCTGAGTTGTATTGTAGGGGTCCAAGGAAGATCCTTTGGGTCCGGTCGTTGGTCCCGTGCCCTTGTACATAACCACTTAAAGAATGGTGAAATAAAGGTTCTTTGAAACTCCTACCTGGACAGCTTGGTCCTTGCGGAAGCAGCGTCGACTCCGGCCTGTGTCGGGAGGGTGCGGGCCCCGGGAAGGGGCGGGGCCGGGGCGGGCCCCGGGAAGGGGCGGGGCCGGGGCTTCGAGGGGCCCGGCGTCAAAGCTTGGGGCCGGCCCCCGGCTCCCGCGCTTCCTATCTCTTCTGCAACCGTTTTTGTCGCTGCGATCACCCAGGTAAGACATTCCCCGGACTCTCATCTCCCTCTTTCCCTTTGGAAAGCACTTGTTCCTTCTAGCGCGGCTCACAGGCACTCGCGGGTACTAAATTCGACTAACGGCCTCTGGGGGTGTCTGGTGGGACTTGAAATCTTCAATCCAGCCTCTCAGTCCGCGCCTATCTCCTGACCCTTAGTGGAGCCGGGGATTGGGATGCGAAACTACTTGGCACCCAGGGTTCCCTGCTCTCCGCTCCCTGCTATGCGGTGCATTAGCTCCTACAGGGCTCTGCTGAAGGGGCGGGTTGCCAGAGCAGCCCCTACTGCTGCAGGAAACCGCCGCCTTTTGCAGCTGAGAGGAGCCTCGGATCCCAGACTTTAAACAGGTGAGGCTCCCAGGGAGGTGAGAGTACCGCTCACCTTGCCCACCTCATTCTGCGTTCACTCTTTTGGAGAGAATCTGGATTTTTAGCCTCCATCTTTCCTAATGAAGAACAGACCGTAACATTGCCACACCTCCCCAAACATTCCTTTACTACCCTCCACCCCTCAAAGCAGTAAGGAAGAGGTTCACACTTCCCTTTCAGGACTAGTTTAGGGTACTTGGCCACACCTGTACCGGGCTAGCCTCTTTCTCTTGTTTCAAAGAATCACCACCATCCTCTTAAACCAGCACCTTCCCCAGCTGGGGGATGGAAGCTTTCCTTTCACAGCCAGGCTGGGAGACCTCAGTCATTTACACGCAGGAGCTCTGGAGACCTCCAAGGTCATCTCGTGACTGAGGATAAAGGACTTGGGACTCTTCCCCTCCCCACCACCACCATTCAATTTCCTCAAGTTCCTGAATGACAATTCAGCAACTTTCCCGGAAAAAAAATATGTGCTCTGCCATTCGCTTCTGGAAGTTCCTCAAAGTGGAATGGATTGTTTTGCTGTTTCCCCTCTTGTAGGCAGGTTGGGCTGTCCCAAGATAACGAAAGGCATTAAAGTGCAAGGAACTTTCTGCTCTGAAGAGTCCTGTGACTTCGCTCTTCCCTACCCCAGCTTCCTGAGGTTTGAGCTTGTGGCAGTTGTGATGGAGCTCCTTGCCAATCTTAAAAACATAAAACCATGGAACTTTTTGTTCTTTTCTCATTAGTGAAAAACCCCTCTGAACAATGGGCTCTGGGGAAGTTGAGAACAAGTTGATCCTGCCCCCTGGTCCAGCCATTCACCGCAAGGTTGCCAACTACCACAGCATCAGTAGTAGGAAGTCCTCTTGTTCCTGTGTGCCTTGTGAAGGGGCTACTAATGCCAGCTTTGTGACTTGTCCCACATGCCAGGGAACTGGGAAGATCCCTCAAGGTGAGTGATCAAAGATTCTGGAAATAACCTGGAATCCAGGAAAAGCTCTTGATAATCTGCTGACCAGGCCCCTCTGCGTCTCCTTGAATGGAGCTGGGTCTTCCAGTTTCAGGCAGGCCAAGGCCATGCTAAGTCTCCCCAGGCTTGCTTAGGAGAACCCCTACTACCCCAGGGGCTTTCCAGCTACTCTGTTCCCTTGGCAACACCACCTCAAGATTGAGGAAGTTGGGCCTCCCTGGTGGTGCAAGGGGTTAAATCTCAGCACTAGGAAGCAATCCATAGCCACTGCAGCAGGAATTCAGTCCCTGGCCAGGGAGCTGACCCACATGGTGTGGCAGACCTCTCCTGTCTCCCCTGCTGCTCCCCTCAGCAGTGTATTTCAGTAGATCTGCCTGGTCTGCTCCCCACTCTGGTGAATCACACATACACAAACACCCTCGCACCTCTGGCCTATACCCCAGCTCTTGCATGCATAAATAAATAAATCTTTTTTTAAAAAAAAGATTCAGGAAGTTGGCCCAGCCCTTCTGCCTGCCTGTGCCTATGTAGGTGTTTCTCTTCCCCATCTTCCCTTGCAGCAGCTCTCCTGCCCCTGTGACTATGCAAGTGCTTCACTGACCTCCCTTTGCAAAGGGGCAGAGGCAGATTCCTCCCAAGGCTGCCCACCTGTGACCATGCAGGCCTCTCTTTTAGCAAACATCCCTTTTGGGGGCAGCTCTTTCTGCCAGCTTGTGACTATGCAAGTGTCCTTTATTCTTCTCTCCCTTTTTTATAATAAACCTGCCCTTTTTTTTCAAAAGATTTATTTATTTATGCAAGAACTGGAGTATAGGTCAGAAGTGCGGGAGGGTGAGAGGATCCACCAGAGACAGAGCGGGGAACAGAACAGGCAGAGTGACCGAAATACACTGCTGAGGGGAGCAGTGGGCGAGACCGGAGAGGTCTGCCACGCCATGTGGGTTTCTCCCTGGCCAGCCGGGAATCGAACCCACGCTGCAGAGACTACCGAACTACGCTGCAGGGACAGCTTCACAGTGCGGCGCTCAACCAGCTGCGCCACCAGGGAGGCCCAAACCTGCCCTTTCAGATATAAAAAAAAATTTGGAAAGTTACAAATGACCTCTCAAAAAAAACTGGGCATCTTGCAGAGATGACTTGCAGAGATTTTCACAACTATTTTTTTATAAAGATTTGTTTATTTATGCATACAAGAGCTGGGGTACAGACCAGAAGTGTGAGGGGTGAGAGGATTCATCAGAGACAGAGTGGGGAACAGAACCGGCAGATTGACTGAAGTACACTGCTGAGGGGAGCAGCGGGTGAGTTAGGAGAGGTCTGCTGCGCCATGTAAGTTGTTCCCTGGCCAGCTGGGGAATTGAACTCGCGCTGCAGAGGCTGTGGACATCTTCATAGGTTGCATCTTTACCCCTTGTGCCACCAGGGAGGCCTGATTTTCACAACTATCAATGAAAATCTCATTTCCACTCTAGAAATGGCAAAGCTGAACTGCCAACTTCAGTAGCACAGCCCTGTGCTCCAGTCCTGCTGTGTCCCCACTCTGTGGAGGGGAGGGGTGATTCTGGGTGGTGGGAAATGTGTGTCATGGATATGTCTTGGCCCTTGCTCTTACCCACTTTCTTTCTACAGAGCTAGAGAAGCAGCTGGTGTTCCTCATTCCCTATGGGGACCAGAGGCTGAAGCCCAGGCACACGTAAGCTCCTCTTCCTGCTCCAGCTGTGCAGGCTGTCACCCTTGAGAGCTGTTCCTCTTTGTCTTCCCCATTCCGCAACCCACCTACCCCCATTTTTCTCTACTGGTCTCCCCTCAGCAGCCTGAGCCTCAGTGTGCTCAAATGTGCTAGCTTCCTGTTTCCAAAGACTCTCCTGGTTTAAGCAGCCTGGGGCACAGCAAATACCACCTGAGGCCCCTGGCACCCTTCCCCACACATCACTGCTTCTAAGAAGCATGACTCCCTTTTTTTTTTTAAAGATTTATTTATTCACGCATACAAGAACCAGGGTACAGTGCCTCCCCTGGTGACGCAACAGTTGAGCACTGGGCTGCAAAGCTGCCCACAGCCTCTGCAGCACCGGTTCCATCCCCGGCCGCTGGCGAGGGTCCCACATGGCATGACAGACCTCTCCTGCTGCGCCTGCTGCTCCCCTCAGCAGTGTATTTCGTCAGTCTGCCTGTTCTGTTCCCTGCTCTGGCTCTGGTGAATTCTCTCACCCTCCTGTGCTTCTGACTGTATCCGGTGCTTGTATAAATAAATAAATCTTTAAAAAAAAAAAAAAAAAAAACCAGGATACAGGCCAGATGCGCAGGAAGGTGAGAGGATTCACCAGAGACAGAGCAGGGAACAGAACAGGCAGACTGACCGAAACACACTGCTGAGGGGAGCAGCGGGCAAGACAGGAGAGGTCTGCCACGCCATGTGGGATTCTTGCTGGCAGACCGGGATTGAACCGGCACTGCAGAGACTGCAGACGGCTTCACAGCACTGTGCTCAACTACCTGCACCATGAAGGGAGGCCCATGACTCCCTTTTAAAAACAGAGGACCTCTTGACTCTACAAGGCCTTCTGGGAGGATAGCCCTGGATGCAATTGATTCAGGGAAGTTATTTTTCCTAAGAGAGCTTCCCTTGCTGTGGCAGTTCAGACCTGCTTGTTCTCTTCTGGGGAGAGAAGGGAAAAAAGCCACTCCCTGTTCTGAGACACTTCCAAACTAGAGGCAGTCCTGAGTTTCACTGGGGCTGAGGGCGTTGTGGAGGAGGTGACCCTATTTGTCATTTGGGTCCACTTGACATGAATTGCTCACCCTTTCCAACGCCCTCAGCTTTGTTCTGGAGGCCACCACCAGTCCCCCCGCAACTACCACTATACAAGAACCTGAATTTGGCAGTGCTCCTCATAAGATGCTAACAAGGTGCTGTCTCATTAATGCGTATTTCAGTTTTGAATTAGATGAACGGGTGATGTCCTGTTCTGAATATCAAAGTTCATAGCTCTCAATTCTTGTGGATTTCTTCTCTTCCAGTGATAACAGCCAGCATTTATTGAACTTTTGCTATGTGCCAAGACCTAAGATTAGTGTGTTAGCCTATAACAAATGCTGTGAGATGGATATAGTTTATCTCCATTTCACAGACAAGGAAACTGAAGTTTAGAGAAGTGAAGTGGGGTTGCTCAGAGATCCTGGGTCAGCGGAACAGAGAATTGGGAATGGAAGCAAGTCTAACTGCCTCCCAGTTCTGCGCTCCTATCAGCTCTGGGCCACATCTGAGCCCGGGGTGGCCCTCCACATGTGGGGAGCCAGACACTCAGTTGCAAGGTGGGTGCAGAAGAGCCTTATGTTTGGAGAGGAGTGTGTGAACACACACACACCCCTTCAAGTTTCCTTCATCTTCAGACTTACTCCTGTTGCCTGGGTCCTTTTCCACAGGAAGCTCTCCGTGTTCCTAGCAGTACTTATCTGCCTGGTGACCACCTCCCTCCTCGGCTTTTTCCTGTTTCCTCGGTCCATCACTGTGCACCCTGCAGGCGTCAACTCCTCCACAGTGGCCTTTGACGAGGCTAATATCTACCTCAATGTAACGGTGGGTGGGTGCTACTAGGCCTGAGTCCCATCTTCAGCCACACTCCTTGATAGCCTTTATCCAGTGTTGCAACCATGGGATGGGTAGCCAGGGATCTTATGACACCCAGAGGGTGTCAGAAACCTGGTGGGGTGGGGGAGAAGGGCAACCCTGAGGCCCATGACAGATTGTGTAAGACAGGGGTCAGAATTAGAACCATAGAGGAAAATCAGAGGATGTGGGGAGCAGGATTCAACAGAGAGAAACCATGCACTCAGACTAGCTCTGAGCCAGCTTGTTGTCTTAATAAGGGTGACCCTCACTGCTAACCCTCTGAAGGGCTCCTGACACTGGCCCGTATTGGACTTAGAGCTGTTAGACTGGGGGGCTGAGGGAGGGGGTTGTCACTGTTGGACTCCTTTTTTCTTTTTTTTATATTTATTTTATTTATGCATACAAGAACTGGGGGGTAGGCCAGAGGTGCGGAGTTGAGAGGATTCACTAGAGACAGGGGAGCAGAGCAGGTGAATCCACTGAAATACACTGCTGAGGGGAGCAGCAGCAGCCAAGACAGGAGAGGTCTGCTGTGCCATGTGGGTCAGCTCTCTGGCTGGGGATTGAACTCAGGCCACAGTGGCTGGTGATAGCTTGATAGCGCTGAGACTTTAATCCCTGTATCACCAGGGAGGCCCTGTTAGAGTCCTTTCTAAGAATGGCCACCCTCATCCCTTCCTTCTCTTGTCCTCATCTCTAGAGTATCTTGAACATCTCCAATAACAACTACTACCCCATCACCGTGACCAACCTGACCCTTGAGGCCCTGCACCTGTCCCACGTGGTGGGGCAGCTCTCCAAGAGCAGCCTCCTACACATCAGCCCTTTGACCAGTGAACAGGTGACTCTCCCTGGCCTGCCCTGCCCACAGGTGTGCGATATGTTTGGTGGGGTTAGAGGGCAGCGGGGGTCAGGGCTTACCCCCTGCCTGTTTGGTTGACAGATGCTTTATGCAGTACCCAACACGATCCAGGATGAAAGCATGTAGTGAGTACCCCTTGATCTCTTCTCCCTGAGCCTCTTTCCTGGGTTGGAAGACTGGTTTTAATCTCCAGCAGATTGCCTGATTGCTTAGTGAACCCTGCAGTCAGTATTTGGCCAGCACTACCAGCACCAAGACTGCATTGTGCAAGGGTTCAGGGTCCCCAGACTCCGCCTGTCTGGACCTAGATTAGAATGAAAAACAGCTGGTATTCGGTCAATCCTAACAATATGTGACCTTCGACTCTTTAGCCAGAATCTCTGAGGAACAATGTCTTGTTTTCACCTGTGCTCCACTGTGTCTGTGCCAGGCCAGAGAGGGGTAAGGGTAGAGGAGTGATATTGCACAAGGGTGGCATGCTTACCTTAGAGGGAGAGGGAAAGGGTGGGAGTGGCATGTGGGGGCCCTGGATGTAAAGGAGCCCAGAGGCAAGGGGGCTGGGATCTACTATCTCCCCAAAGACTTCTTTTTTTTTTTTTTTTTTTTATTTATTTATTTATTTATTTATACAAGCACTGGGTACAGTCAGAAGCGCGGGAGGGTGAGAGAATTCACCAGAGCCAGAGCGGGGAGCAGAGCAGGCAGAAGGACCGAAGCACACTGCTGAGGGGAGCAGCGGGCGGCAGGAGAGGTCCGCGCGCCATGTGGGACCCTCCTCCGGCGGCCGGGGAGCAGCCGGGGATCGGCCGGGGAGCAGCCGGGGATCGAACCGGCGCTGCAGAGGCCACGGGCAGCTTCGCAACCCAGCGCTCAACCGCTGCGCCACTGGGGAGGCCCATCTCCCCAAAGACTTCTTTTTTTTTTTTTTTTTCATGTTTTTTTTTATTTATTTATTTGTTCGTTTGTTTCGTTTATACATGCACTGGGTACAGTCAGAAGCGCGGGAGGGTGAGAGAATTCACCAGAGCCAGAGCAGGGAGCAGAGCAGGCAGAAGGACCGAAGTACACTGCTGAGGGGAGCAGCGGGCGGCAGGAGAGGTCTGCGCACCATGTGGGACCCTCCTCCGGTGGCCGGGGAGCAGCCGGGAATCGAACCGGCGCCGCAGAGGCTGCGGGCAGCTTCGCAACCCAGCGCTCAACCGCTGCGCCACCGGGGAGGCCCTCCCCAAAGACTTCTAATGGGCTATCTGGTGTGAAATGTTTTTTCTCTCTCTCTCAGTAAAATCTGTAAGTCGCTGAAGATCAAAGTCCACCATGTGCTTTTACAAATCCAGTAAGTAGGGGTTCATAGCCCTTAAATCCCCTCCCTAGTCTCACATTGGCTGTACCTCATGGGATGAGAGTCATCTAGGCTGAGCCCAGGAATCTCTGTGGGCTCTTAGGAATAGCAGGTGCAGCCCCTTCTCTAGGTCCCACCTTGCTTATAAGCTATTGATATGACAGTCATAGCGTCTGGGACACAGGTGGGTGGCTGTCCCCGGTGCCTTGACACAGTGGGAGGCAGAATAAAGGGAGGTGGGAGGGGGTCAGCTCTTCTCAGATAGCAGAGCTTCCTCTTCCGGACACAGCAACCAAGACTGCTTCCTCTCCAGGGGCACCCTGACCTACTCCTACCTGCACGAGTCAGAGCAGAAGACCTTCCAGAGTAGTGAATATTTGGACTGCAGGGAAAACAAGTCACTGCCCCACTCACTGGCTTCTCACCTTTGACCTGTCTGCTGTCCCCGCACACCAGGCACCTGCCAGCCTGGTCCATGTCTCCCACGTTTTGTGACCAAGAAAGGATTATAGTGACTTTGCCAAAGGAAAAGACCTTCTTTATCTCGCCCTCACCGCACTTCCTAAGCGCAGGAAGCTTGTTCTGTAGAAGCTCACTTCACACGCATCCTCGCACCCACACACTCAACATCCTCTGGTTCCCCAAAGGTCTGATTCTTGTTGGAGCCTGCATCCGGTCTCCCTCTGGGTCTGCCGTGAAGAAAGTCTGGCCTGTTATTTACTGGGAGCTGCCTCGAGTCCCAGGTAGCACCTGGAACTTTCTCTGCTGAGCTCCTTGGTCACCCAGCTCTTCCAGGGCTCCCTTCCTCCTGCCTGAATCTGGAGTCAAAAGCCTTACTTTTGACTTTTTTAAGATTTATTTTATTTTTTTATACATACAAGAGCTGGGGTATAGGCCAGAGGTGTGGGGCTGGGGGTGAGAAGATTCACCAGAGACAGAGTAGGGAGCAGAACAGGCAGATCTACTAAAATACACTGCTGAAGGGAGCAACGGGCGAGACAGGAGAGGTCTGCTGTGCCATGTGGGTCACCTCCCTGGGCAGGGATTGAACTCATGCCTCAGTGGCTGGTGATAGCCTGATAGTGCTAAGACTTAACCCCTTGCGCCACCACGGGCTTTTAAAACACGGCTCACTTTCCCAATAATGGGGACTATGCTGGGCTGTCTTTAGGGACTCTTAGGGGTCCCAGAGATGCTCTCCAGTTCCTCCCTGCTTAGTTGTATGACCAAGTGATGGTGAGTACCTGCTCCTCTCCTGGGAACTTGTCACCTGCCTGTCCCCATCAGCAGGATTGGCCAAGACATTTGGGCTCTGCATCCTTTCTTTCAAAAAATTTTTTTTTCAAATTTTTTTTTTTTTTAAAGAGGCATGTATTTTTATTTATTTATTTGTTTGTTTGTACATGCACTGGGTACAGTCAGAAGCGCGGGAGGGTGAGAGAATTCACCAGAGCCAGAGCGGGGAACAGAACAGGCAGACTGACGAAGTACACTGCTGAGGGGAGCAGCGGGCGGCAGGAGAGGTCTGTGCGCCATGTGGGACCCTCCTCTGGTGGCCGGGGAGCAGCCGGGGATCGAACCGCTGCCGCAGAAGCCGTGAGCAGCTTCGCAACCCAGCGCTCAGCCGCTGCGCCACCAGGGAGGCCCTCTGCATCCTTTCTAATTAGACTGCCCCGGTTCCTAGGAAAACAGACATGTCCTCCAGCTAGAACCTGTCTTCTCCATAAAATAGTTTTATTATTTTCTTCCCAGCAAGAGCCAAAGTAGTGGGGGAGTGGAGGGAGGCACCGGGGGCCTGCATCTCAAAGAGAGACAGTCAGGCATTTTGAAGGGCATCTGGCTGGGGTAAGCCCACAGCCCTAGGAATGTGATGGTCATTGTCAGGTCTGCCATGGAAACCTGCCAAGAGGAAGCTTCAGTATCCAGCCAAAACACTGGACTCTCCTGCATCCCTAACTTAGCACCAGGGCCACCTCTGCATCAGAGGCCTCTGGACATTGGCAGTGGGGAGGAGCATGTAAGTAGTGATGGTCTAGACATTTTCTTCTTTGCTGCCACCCAGATGAAGCTAAGCCCCACATACACCCAGCTTCCCTTTTGGGCTCCAGGCAGAGGAGATTTTGCTTAGCCAAGCAGGAAACAACATTTGCCTATTAAAGGTGACTGTGGTTTGGATCAGTCAGGTACAAAGATGAGCTTAGGTGGCAGGGAAAGCTGAATTTGAAGAGGATGGATGGAGTGTGGAAATGGTGACAAGCCAGTGATTAGCTGGCTAGGGAAAGAGAGGCAGGAAGGCATTCATGCCTAGATAACAGGAACTAAGAGGTACTGGCAAGAGCACAGAAGCCAGGCTGGAGTTTCTGCTGAGTGTAGGCCCCAAGTCCTGTATACAATAAACTATGTGTAACCAAAAAAAAAAAGTGCCTCCTTTGAGTGGGGAGGGAGCTGGCCAGCACTTCCTAGATCACAGTCTATTTTTTCCTAAGGATTTATTTATGCCTACAAGAACTGGGATGTAGGCCAAAGGTGGGGGGGGCGGGGTTTGTAAGAGGATTCACCAGAGACAGAGTGGGGAGCTGAATAGGCAGATCTACTGAAATTCACTGCTGGGGCAAGCAGTGGGTGAGACAGAAGTCTGCTGCACCATGTGGGTTAGCTCCCGGGCCAGGGATTGATAGCTGAGTCTTTAACCCCTGCACCACCAGGGAGACCCTCACAGCCTATTTCTTAGTGTCTAAGTGGGCATCAAGATTTTTCCCAGGCCCTTGTCCTGCTTTTTTTTTAAAGATTTATTTATGCATACAAGAATGGGGGTGCAGGCCAGAGGTGCGGGGGCGGTAGGAGGATTCACTAGAGACAGAGTGGGGAACAGAACAGGCAGATTGACTGAAATACACTGCTGAGGGGAGCACCGGGCGAATCAGGAGAGGTCTGCTGAGCCATGTGGGTAGCTCCCTGGCCGGGGATCAAACTCGTGCTGCAGAGGCTGCGGTTAGCTTCATAGGTTGTGTCTTAACCCCTTGTGCCACCAGGGAGGCCTCTCTTGTCCTGCTTTTCTGGCTTCTTTGTGTATCTCTTAAGACCCCTTCCAATATTATGACCTCCCCCGCCCCCCCGAAAAGTAACCTCCACCAGTTGCTCAACTCAGGAAGCCCCTGCTGTGAGGGTCTCCCTCAGCAAGGCCAAATCTTGTGCGCTATAGTGAAAGGACCAGACCCTTGGCAGTCCAGAGTGAAAGAGGGGCCGGCCTGGGGGACCCCAGTGTCAGGAAATGGTGAGCAGGATTTGGAGCCTCTTGGCGGTCTCTGCTCAATGAAGAGGCTGAGACCCAAGAAAGGAGAGGCCTGTTGATCTTGTCTGCACCTTCCCAGGGAGTCAGGTGCCCTGTGCCTGAGGCTATAACCCCCTTTTCCTCTGAGCTATTTCCACCCTGCCCCCCTTTCTGGTGCCCGTTCTGGTCCAGGCCAATATTGTTGCCATGGATGTGGGGAGGTACCAGGCCTCCTCTGGCATGATGCTCCTTCCCACCTGTGTCAGTAAGCACTGGGGAGGGGAGAGGGACTAAGTCCAGCAACAGTTCTAGGGCCTAGCATTACTAAACAAGGGTCAGCAGTGGAGCAGCAGACCTGGGGGCGCCAGGAGTGGGGCGTCCCAAGGCCAACTTCTCCCATTGACTTTGCCTGGGGAAGCATGAACACACCTGCTTTCTTCTCCCACCCTCTCCATCCCCTTTACTGGTGCTGCTGCCCCCTTCCCCTGATCCCAGGTTCACGAAGCCCACCAGTTTCTCATTCTCTCCACGTGGAATCATTTTATTCCCTACTACCCTCTTCTAGAATGGCTCAGAGCAGTGGCCTGGGGGTGGAGATGTTGCTGGGTGGGGAGAAGGCGTGGTGGCGTGTTGGATTCTGCTGACTGCCAGTGGTCTTGGGCTCTCTGCATCACCACTGCTGTATGTAATTCGTGGACTGAGAGAAGGAAGAGACCAGAGGCAGAAACAGATTAGTCAGCAGTTTCCGGTCTGTGGGAACACTGTCTTAAACCCTCCAAGGTCAGAGGAATTAAAGTGAAAGCGGCCTGGGGCTCCTCTAAGGGCCAACTTAGGGCCTCTCATCCTTTGCACCTGTCAGAAACCTCTCCAAAGTTCCTACCGTTGTGTGTCGTGTCTTTCAGACTCTCCCTCCTGCTTTCCTGGCCTGCCATGAGCCAGGCGCTCGCTGCCTGAGCTTTGGTGATTTCCAGGACTTTCACCAGCCACCTTCAGTCCTCATGACATTGCTGTTGAGGAGATAGGAGTCTCACTCATTGATGGCGCTGATGAGGCTCAGAGATGAAAATAAACTGGGGAGCAGCGAGCCTGAGAGACCTTCAGCCTCTGACTTCGGGTCTTGCTCTCCTCCTGTCCATTTGCTTTAACCCCAACTGGCACTTCAAATACCCCTTTATTTTGCTGCTTTGGCTCCTGACCCCTCTTTCCAAGATTGTGCACCCTTCCACTAATGCTTAGTGAGCAGGCCTGACCTAGACATTGTTATGGGGAACAAGGAAGGAAGGAATGGGCCATCCAGAAGTGACTGAAAGAACTGCGGCCCACCCCAGCCCGGGAAGCGTCTCCGCCACCCCCACTAGCACGTGCTCTGACACAGCCGCAGTCTCTGCCATCCACACCATCTCACCGTGAGTCGCGGGTACCTGGTATGTCTGTCTGGGCTAGACTGGTGCGTGTTCCTGAAACCTGCTAAGGAAACAACACGTGTTACTCCTCCAACAATTTCTAGGATGAAACACCGCTGGGCTGGTCTCTGTGCTGCGACTGTGGGACGAGCAGCAGCCCCCTCCTGGGCCAATGGCACAGACTGAGCCTACCTGGAAAATTCTCCACTAAGAAGCTTCCCTGTGACTCCCTGTTCCAGACCTATGGGGCAAAGTATCTATTGATAAGCCTACAACTCCGAGCCCACCCTTTCACCCTCACCCTGGAGGGTGACACCATCTCAGTCACCCTCTGCAGAGCTGACTGACTTTTTTGCAGCCCTGGGTTAGCACAAACCCACCCAGAGGGAGAGACCCCCAAGCAAAGGCTGAGGTACTGGCAAGAGTCAGAGAGGGTGGGTGACAGCTGTGGATTCTGGACCTGGGCTTAGGGGGAGCAAGCTGCTGTCTCCTCGACTGCTTCCCACCCCCAGAAATCTGGCTTACCCAGTCCTGGAGGGATTCTCCTTGCTTCTTGCACTCTGTCATTAAGGTAGTTGGCTTGCCCTTCAGTTGGTTGGGTCTCTTCTGAGCCAAGTGGGGTACCTTGTCTTTGGGAATCCTGTAGAACATGCTTGAAGGTATACTGAGGCAGTGGGCCTTGGGCATTTTGTTGGGTGGGCTGTGGTGGGGGCTGTGACTGTGCTGGGGGCTGTGACCGTGCCGGTAGCTGTGAAGTTGGTTGCTGTTGTGCAGACGGAGGCCGTGACTCCTGAAACATATGGGCTTTTTTCTCATATTGGCATCCTCCTCTTGGAGTTTCTTCTGTTCCTGGCAAAAAGCCCTGGGCAAGTGGCATCCTGCTCCTTCCCCACCCAGCCGCCCACCTGCCAGTGACACCTTGGGGAACAAGGCACTGACTTAGGAGATAGAGGTGGTCCGAGGATCTGTTCCTGGTTAGAGGCTGGGGCTGGATGCAGCCTGGGCTGTGTCTCCCGCAACCACTACACACCTGGGGACTATTCACTGACAGTCTGGCACAGCCCCTGCCCAGGTAACAGAGTCTTCCCTCCTAGCTTGGGAGTGGCACACTGAAGACAGTTTACAGTGCCAGAGGACAAAGAATCATTTCTTGCCAACACTTTGAAACTTCACTGTCCGGTAGACCTATGAGGCATGACACATGGATATTTAAATTGCTACTGGCCACACCAGTAAAAGTACAGTGAATAAAAATATCCTGTTTAGCCCCAGTGTATTTCAGACCCTAAAAAGTAGTCAACATGAAAATATTAATGAGATAGTTTACTTTCTATGTTTTTGTACAGTGAAAAAGTAATTCACATGCCCAGGTTATTCCAGACTTAAAAGTTTTCCAATATGTCAATTGGGTTTTTTGTTTTAAATTTTATTTGTTTTTAAAGATTTACTTTGTGCATACAAGGGCTGGGGTGTAGGCCAGAGGTGTGGGAGGTGAGAGGATTCACCAGAGACAGAGTGGGGAGCAGAACAGGTGGATCTACTGAGGGGAGCAGCGGGGGAGACAGGAGAGGTCTGCTGGGTCATGTGGGTCAGCTCCCTGGCCGGGAATCAAACTCATGCCACAGTGACTGCGGATAGTTTCACAGTGCTAATACTTTAACCCCTGTGCCACCAGGAAGGGCCTTGTTTTAAATTTTTATTTAAAAGAACCAAGTATATAAAATTTTAAATCCAGTTCCTTGATCTCACTAGTAAGAACTAGTCCTTGAAACCACCACACGGGCTGGTGGTCACCCTATTGGACAGTACAGCCTTAAAACCTCCCAGGCTGGGCCTCCCTGGTGGCACAAGGGGTTAAGTCTCAGCACTATGAAGTAATCTCGCAGCTACTGGAGCACCAGTTCGATCCCCAGCCAGGAAGCTGACCCACATGGCACAGCAGACCTCTCTTATCTCACCTGCTGCTCCCCTCAGCAGTGTATTTCAGTACATCGGCTTGTTGTACTCCCCACTCTGTCTCTGGTGAATCCTCTCACCCTGCCCCCACCTCTGGCCTGTGCCCCAGTTCTTGCATGCATAAATAAACAAATCTTTAAAAAAAAAAACCCTCCCAGGCTGGGCCCCCACTCCTTACCGGGCCTCAGTCTAGAACAACCAAAGCTGAGTCATCCCCCAATACACAGTCTCTCCAAGAAATCATCCAAGAGCCCTGTGTTCTGCTACCCTCAGTAAGGCCATGGTCACCAGATGACAGACAGCAGCCTGGGCGTCTCCTCCCCTTCCCTTCCTGCCCTTGAAAGGACCCTGATGAAGCAGGCCCCTCTCACCTGCTCTTGTTGCTGCTTCTGCTGGGTCATCAACCACTTCCTCCGGTCCAAAGCCATCTGCCTGCGCCGGGCCTCCCAGTGGTAAGCGCTGGCCATGATGGGGACAGCAGGAGGCTCCCAGAGGGGCAGGCACAGCCCAGCAGGCCACCACTGAAGGCACCACCTCTGTCTCTTCTCACCCCCAACTCTACTGCCTAAAACCAGAACCACCTCACAATGTAGCCACTACCAGGGCAACTGGGCAGGTCCCCCCACCTTGGGGAGAGGGAGGTGTTCTTGCCAAGCCTCTGAGGGAGCATCTGTAATAGCACCTTTCTCCCCAGGGAGAGGGGCAGTTGAGCAGGGAGAGGGCACCACTTAAGGGTTGAGTCCCAATGGGCTTCAGGGACAACACAGGATGGCTAGCTTTTCTCTCTGGTTTCTTTCTCCTACCTTCCCGGGATTACAACATCTGCCTCTGGCCCTCACCCCAAAGGTCTCTGGAGTTATCTTTCCCTCAGTCCTCTGGCTTCTCCCTGTACTGAATCAAGAAGAAAGAAAATTCAAAATCAGCTAACTTTGACAGGGGTCCGAGCTAAGTGGCTTACTAGAATGTGGCCTGATCCTGGGGATTTCAAATCCTGAGCTCAAGCCTAATGTCTACCTTCTGCCCCTGGAGATCCTACCTAATTTGTCTGGGATATAATTTGACACATGGATATTTAAATTGCTACCGGACACACCAGTAAAAGCACAGTGAATAAAAATATCCTGTTTAGCCCCAGTGTATTTCAGACCCTAAAAAGTAGTCAACATGAAAATATTAATGAGATAGTTTACTTTCTATGTTTTTGTACAGTGAAAAAGTAATTCACATGCCCAGGTTATTCCAGACTTAAAAGTTTTCCAATATGTCAATTGGGTTTTTTGTTTTAAATTTTATTTGTTTTTAAAGATTTACTTTGTGCATACAAGGGCTGGGGTGTAGGCCAGAGGTGTGGGAGGTGAGAGGATTCACCAGAGACAGAGTGGGGAGCAGAACAGTTTTCCTGCCTGTAGAAAGAGAAGGGTATTACTTGTTACCCTCTTCACTGGGCTACACCAGGACCAGATGGATCAATGAAAAGAAACTGTACAAGATGAAGTGGAGGGCCTCCCCAGTGGAGGGCCTCCCCGGTGGGGCAGGGGTTAAAGTCTCAGCACTATCAAGCTATCACCAGCCACTGTGGCCAGGGAGCTGACCACAGCAGAGCTCTCCTGTCTCGCCCACTGCTCCCCTCGGCAGTGTGTTTCAGTCAGTCTGCCTGTTCTGCTCCCCACTCTGTCTCTGGTGAATCCTCTCACCCCCCATACCTATGGCCTGTACCCCAGCTCTTTATGCATAAATAAATAAATCTTCAAAAAAAAAATTAAGTGTGAAACTGTTCAGCTATAGATTGCTAGAGTTATTATCCGTCCTGGCTTGCGGCCCTGTTAGTAGAGTGTCTGGGAGGGGGCCATTTCCTGCAGCCCAGAAAAACTTTTAGGGGCGGAAACAGGGCAGGCTGTGGACCTAACTTCTACACCTACACACCTTTCCCCAGATTATCAACCTTTCTGAAAACAACAGAGCCCGAGTTCAGCTGCAGGCCTGGAAGCAGAGGGAGGGTATAGGTGGAAAAAGAAGGCTCAAGCCCAGCCCCCGCCTCAAACACTGGGGTGGCGGTGGGCGAGGCAGGGGTGTTCAGGGAGCAGGCCCTGAAACAGAGAACAGTTTCCCGAGCCCCTGTCATTTCAGCAGTGGGTATAGTGAGTCAGCTTGGGCTGTGGAGTTGAGCACCCTCAGGTTCCATCTGGTCTGTGTCACCTACCATCTGGGGCAACTTGGACAGATCACTCAGTAGTGAGGAATTTGAGGAATCTGTAGCCTCTCCTGGGAAGGTTGCTGGAATGCCCCCATGGAGTGCTGGGAAAGGGCTGTCCTACCTATGGGCACGCAGCCATGGCTGGCCACTAGAGACGCCCCAGCTCTGCTGAGGGCCCAGTGAGGCAGTGGGCCTTGCTGGCTCTTTCCTCCTTGGTTAAAAGGTGTGCTCCTTCTTCCTCCAATTGTTAGGGGGAAAAGGATGTCCTAAAGCTAATTCCATACAGGCTTTGTGGACCCCACCCCCACCCCAGGTCAAAGCCAAAGACACTGGGAACTCCAAATCCCATCCCCACCAAAGGGAAAGTAGCTGGGAACTGAGGGTGGGGTTAAGCAGCCAGGTTGATATAAAAGGCAGACACGTGGGCTTTGGGGGGGGTCCCCCATTTTGGCTCTCCACCAGCTAGCAGCGTCTGGCCAGCTCTGAGAGTGCCTTTGGGTTTCCAGGTCGTCTGATCGGTTAGGACGCATTAAGGACTTTATTTCCCTATTTTCTCCCTGAGTTGTACATTTTCCTTATTTCCTTTTCCCTTGTAAATAAACCTTTTATTAACCTTTTGTGTGTGCCTGTAGTGGAGTATTAATAAGTCCCTTTTAAGCGCGTTGGTGAGGACCCACAGCCAGGAACCCGTTCAATATCGGGGCTGCTCTATAACAGCTTCGGGGCTGCTCTATAACACTAACAGCCAGGGGTGTGAAGGATAGGTCACCCTAAGACCTGATGTGGATTATTTTCAGCTGGGGAGAGGACAACCAGTGCAAACTCTTGATTGCTACTCCCTTAACTGCTTTACCCAAAATTAGGGTTATTATCAGAAGTCAGTTTTCCGTCTGAATATCTATATGGCAAGGAAAACATCTACGTACAGAGCACCTGCTCTTCATGGAACCTCTCTGTCATGTGAGTTCCTTCTGTGACAGTGTGATTCCTACCAAAAGGGGAGACTCTAGGGCCCCTGCCCTGCCTAAAGAAGAAGGGTGGAGCTTAGGGGAAGCTGGAAGGGATTTGGGAGGGAGGGCTGGGGACAGACCACAGCGAAGACCTGAAGGAGGCAAGGCACGTGAAAAAGCCGCTGTAGGGAAAATTGGGCCTTTTTCCATGCTTCTGTCGCTAACCTCTTTGGCTGGCTCCTGCAGTCTTGCATTCCTCCTAGGTTGCCTTATGGTGAGGACACCTGGGGCAGAGAGGTGTGGGTGCTGAGCTTGTGAATTGTGGACATTTGGGCTGGGAAGCCAAAGAGTGGGGCATGTGCATATGTAAATGCAGACACCTGTGCCAGAAGTTGAGGAATAAAAGGGGTTCCTCAGTGCTGGTGTCAGGGAGGCCTGACTCTGAGGCTAGTGGGCTCAGTTGCTGCCTCCCTGCTGGTTGGTCTGCCCCCTGATTCAGCTCTAAAGGCCTGTAAAACCATACTGAGGGCTCCAAAATTCTCTTTTCATCTGGGAGAATTGACAATGAATCTACCAGGCCTGGGATGGTTGCACAACAGCCACTCTTGCGTCTGGGCCTTAGATTTGTACCAGGAACTTGGGGCACATCGAAGGAGGCTCTTGAAAGAGATGTGAGTAAGAGACCTGTGGGGAGGCTGACAATGGCAGCCTTTCTCTTGAATTGTATTTTGACTTTTCTCTTTTCCTTCCAGACTTGCCTGGCCCCTTCTGCCTTAGAATTGTGGCAAGCTTTCAGGTCTTAGTGGCCCTGCTTTGGGTCAACCCTGTTTGGCTGGGCATTTGCCCACAAAGGGGTGGGTAACTTTGGGTATTTCGTGGGGAAACTGTTTTAACTATATTTTTTCTCTTCTTTGTATTTCACACTAACTGTATTAAGTTCTTTTCTATTGAAGATCTTATGCACTAAGAGTATGCTCTGTCTTTATGTGGCAGATGGCAGAACCCATTTAGTGTAAGCAGGTTTAGGGGTCCTGGGGTGTCCCTCATTCTCTTACTGGGAATAGGACTGGGTTCTGCTACCTCTCCCTACCAAAAAAAGCCAATATCAGAGACAGGAATTGAATCTATAACACATTTTATTTTTCATATCTCTGGCCATTGATCTGAGAGAAGAGGGGGCAGAGCACCCTGAAGAGACTGTTCTCCTGTGGCCACTGGTCTGAGAGAATAGGAAGACCATTCTGCTGTCTCATCTCAGCTGCCCTTTTTATGAGTTAGACAAAAACAGTCACAAACAAACAGCCCATCAGAATAGCCCGTCATAGTTGAATCAATTTATTAGAACAGCCTGATGTAGCTGTTATTCTTGGTATATGTCACACTCAGCTCCCAGAGCTTGTTATCAGCTTCTCTGTTATCTTTTTTTTTTTTTTTTTAAAGATTTATTTATTTATTTATACAAGCACTGGGTACAGTCAGAAGCATGGGAGGGTGAGAGAATTCACCAGCGCCAGAATGGGGAACAGAACAGGCAGAGTGACGAAATACACTGCTGAGGGGAGCAGCAGGCACCGCAGGAGAGGTCTGCGCACCATGTGGGACACTTGCTGGCAGCCGGGGATCGAACTAGCGCTGCAGAGGCTGCGGGCAGCTTCGCAACCCAGCGCTCAAACGCTGAGCCACCAGGGGAGGCCCTTCTCCGTTATCTTGATGCTGGTGCATCTGATGATGTCGATGTCAGGCACCGCGTGAGCATCATCAGGGCAGGATTCTCAGTTTTAAAGCAACGGTTTTAATTTAAAGAAAGCACACCATTGTGCCTCCCAGGTGGTGCAAGGGGTTAAGCACAGCATTGTGAAGCTAGCTGCAGCCTCTGCAACACAAATTGGATCCCCAGCTAGCCAGGGAGCTAGCCACATGGTGCAGCAGACCTCTCCTGTCTCGCCCGCTGCTCCCCTCAGCAGTGTATTTCAGTCAGTCTGCCTGTTCTGATCCCCGCTCTGCCTCTGGTGGATCCTCTCACCTCCCCCCACACCTCTGGCCTACACCCCAGTTCTTGTATGCATAAATAAATAAATCTTTAAAAAAAAATTGGGTCATGCACATTTTCTTTTTTTCTTTGTACTCATCTTTTATTAGTATTTGTGAAAATTAAATTATATGTTACAATATTAAATACAATTGGCAAATGAATGTTTTGAAAAGAAATCCAGCAGATTTTTTTTTTTTTAAAGGAGAACTCTTTTGTTTTTTTGTTTATTTATTTATTTACACAAGCACTGGGTACAGTCAGAGGCACGGGAGGGTGAGAGAATTCACCAGAGCCAGAGCAGGGAGCAGAGCAGGCAGAAGGACCGAAGTACACTGCTGAGGGGAGCAGCGGGCGGCAGGAGAGGTCTGCGC